TTAAAACCATATTATTCACCATAACACTTTCTTCCCCTTACAAAACAACAATGTGTTCATTTCAAGGTAAGTGTCCACCCTCAACACACACATCAAATGCAACTTAGCCAGAGTTAACACATCAAACACTACCCTGGAGGTTGCTGTGGCACCTGTCTCTCTCTCTCTCTCCCTTCTCTCTCTCACTCTAACACACAATTATACAAAAAAAAATTCTGAACAAATGGACTGCAGACACAGTACAGGAGATGACCAGAGACTGCGGACAGCACAGGGATGACCAGAGACTGCGGACAGCACAGGGATGACCAGAGACTGCGGACAGCACAGGGATGACCAGAGACTGCGGACAGCACAGGGATGACCAGAGACTGCAGACAGTACAGATGACTGCTGACCTTTGGGGAGGTGGGGAGTGGGTACCTGAATTTGACAGGTACCCGCTCTTACTTCTGCAGAGTTTTTGTTTGATCTTACCTGTTCCTCGATCCAGCCGCGCTGTCTTCCCGGCTTCTGTAATGGCGCTCGGCATGACAGCCGGGTGCCCAGTGCGCATGAGCGAGAAGCACTTGCGCTTTGTGATTGGTCCGGCGGCTTCTGGGATCTGTCATGTGTCCCAGGTACCGCCTTACCATTCACAAAAAGCACGGCTTCTTGCGCATGCGCACTTGGCACCCGGCTGTCATGCCCAGTGCCCACACTACAGAAGCCGGAAGACAGCGCGCCGCTGGATAGAGGAACAGGTAAAAATAAGAGAAACATGAAACTTGGCAAAGAGCCACAGTATACAAAATATGATAAGAGGCAAAGAGCCGCATTCATTTTGGCCGGGAGCCGCGTGTTCGCCACCCCTGCACTAGTGTATCATAAGTTTTAGATACAGTAATTTTTAGCAGGGGTTACCTGAGACTGGAAAGAATTTCAAGGGTTCCTCTGTGTTCAAAAGGTTGAGAAAGACTGACCTAGACACTCATGAATGTTTAGATATGTGCTCAGCTACAGCAGAAATGATTATATGCAGTGACATTACATATGAATATTTGTTTCCGCTCGATAGAAAATATAGCTGATTTGTCACCTTGTGATTTTTTAACCCTTACACCTCCACTGTTGTAACTAATACATCATTTTGCGTAAACTAGCCCTTATTCTTACAGTAAAGATATGTATTGTATGCAAGAATTGTAATTGCATGACTGTGAAACGTGGCATGTACACACTCCTAGCCACTGCCTCTGTTACTAAAGGGGGTTGCAGGTGGTGGGTGGTAAAAGTCCAGCTCAGCTGTGGGTTTCTCCCCCCCCCTTGCCCAACCATGAGCCCTAAGGTCTTATTCACACAGTTACTTTGGCCATGTGAATAAATGGATTGTTCACACGGGTGCAGCACTTGTTACTCTAAGGCAGTGGTCTCCAAACTGTGGCCCGGGGGCCAGATGTGGCCCATTGCTTGCCTTTATCTGGCCCTCAGGGCACTTTTCCTCCCACTGATACAAGACACTATTCCTTTCCTCCCACCAACAATGGGGCATAAATAAAAAAATGAGGCACTATTTCTCCCACTGACACCAACTATGGGGCACTGTTCTTCCCACTAACACCAATGATGGGGCACTATTCCGCCCACTGACACCATTGATGGGGCACTATTCCACCCTCTGACACAAATGATGGGGCACTATTTCTCCCACTGACACCATTGATGGGGCACTATTTCCCCTCAATGACACCAACAATAGAATACTATTCCTCCAACTGACATCAATGATGGGCGCTATTCCTCCTAATGACACAAGTGGGCACTGTTCCTCTCTCTGACAAAAACAAATGGGCACTATTCCTCCCACTTGCACCAATGAAGGGGCGCTATTCCTCCCCCCAATACCAAAGATGCGTTGTTTATTCCCACTAATGCCAGGAAAATTTCTACTCCCAAGGGGGATGCAGTGGCTGTATGAACACAGTCACAGGTCCTAATCTGACAGGTGTGCTGGTGTGGGTGAGTGGTCCTAAATGCACACTGTGTGTTCAGGGCCATACGCCTGCACCCATTCACCTGTCAAATTATGACCTGCGGCTGTGTTCATACAGCTGCTGCATTCCTATAGTGTAACATAGGCTGACTGCACACAGCTCCAGCCACATAAACAAACCACTGTACAGGCCACAACACCCCAAAGACCTCATTCAGGCATAGAGCTTTATTTATTAACTCAATAAAAAGTTTTATCTTTTAGATTTAGCAGGAATTGTGTTGGGTTTGTGTCCACTAATATCAATAATAATTTTAGTGTATTTTTAGTAAAAATATAATTTGAGATTTCTAACAGCAGCCCTGACCACAACTGTCGAGTGAATAGGCACACACATGGGCCGACTGTGAGCACACCCTTTTCACCAGGGCTGCTGACCATCAGGGCTGGCTGTAGTTGTCTAAGCCGAGTGTCTGTGACACTCTCTTTCATGCACCCACAGTTCCCTGCACATGGAAGGGGGGAAGAAAGAGCTCCCCCTCCTCCCACCCCCCTACCCCTCTCTGTCTTCCCACTCACACTCCAATCTCTGGCGTGCTGTGCCTCAAAAAAAGGGATGTATGGGTGGGAAATATGAAGCCCAGCAGCTGTCAGGCACATTATTTATTTATTTCAGGTACTTATATAGCGTTGTCAATTTATGCAGTGCTTTACATATATATTGTACATTCACATCAGTCCCTAACCCTCAAGGGGTGTACAATCTAAGGTCCCTAACTTACATTCATACATACACATAGTAGGGACTATTTAGACACAAGCCAATTAACCTACTAGCATGTCTTTGGAGGGTGGGAGGAAACCGGAGTTCTCGGAGGAAACCCACGCAGTCACAGGGAGAACATGCAAACTCCAGGCAGGTGGTGTCATGGTTGGGATTCGAACCAACGATCCTAGTACTGCCAGGCGGAAGTGCTAACCATTTAGCCACTGTGCTGCCCAAATTGTGGATGAAAGGCATCTATGCCTGAGCTTCCATCCTGGGGTGAGTGAGCTCATCATCTGTGGCTGAAGTTTCCCCCCCCCCCCTCCTTTCTCTCTCCTGCCTCTGAGCTAGTAAGTAAAACCTGATTTACCTTAGGTTCACACCTAAGCATTTTCCATGGCGTTTTGCAGAAATGCACTACAGTCCATTTAATATGATTTCCTATGGGACACGTTCACATCTCCGCGTTTTCACCCGGTGCGCTTTTTGGGAAGGGTTTAGGCACTTTTTTAAACGCAAAAATCTGCATTTTTGGTTCTATAGACTTCAATGGAAACGCAGCAGAAAAGCATGTAGTGCTTTTTTGCTGAGTTTTTGACACATTTTTGATGCATTTTAAATCTGCCTAGCAACAAGAAAAACACAAATGCTTCAAAAACGCGGCAAAAATGCAACACAAAACACAATGCAAAAACAGGTCAAACGCAAACTGCATAGGGGTGAACCTAGCCTTATGGCCAGTTCTCACTATATGCATTTCAGTTGCTTTTTCTGCATCCAAAACTCACAGAAAGTAGGTTATATGGTTGTCAATGTCCTAGTTCACATCAGTGGTTGCAGTTCCAGTGCATTCCAGTTGTAGAAAAAAAAAGTAGAACATGCTGCATTTTTGCTGCACAGAAATGTACTGGAACGTGGTAAAACGCATAAAAAACGCACCGCAACATATTGGAACGCACCAAAAATGCACTGGAACGCACATGTTAAAAAAAGGCCTGGATTGTTTCTTAGGTACACAGAATATAACTGGATACTAACAATTATAGGTAAAGTTGATCCAGGGAATATCTGATTGCCTCTCGGGGGATCAGGAAGGAATTTTTTTCCCAGCAGGAGCAAATCGGATCATGTTTTGCTGGGTTTTTTTGCCTTCCTCTGGATCAACTGTGGGTATAGGATTATAACTTTTTTTTTTTTTTTTTTTTTTAATGTTGAACTGGATGGACTTTTGTCTTTTTTCAGCCAGACTAACTATGTCCCTATTTAAATTGCAGAAAAAGAGAGGGGGAAAATGAACTGGAATGTACATAAAAAAATGCACCAGAACATGCCAAAAACATACATGTAAAAAGGCATCTGGAAGGCATCTGGGCTGCATTTCTAGAGTGTGAAATGGCCCTTAAGGGGGAATGCTGGGAACTCTGATATAAGTGGGGGCTTTGGTGAGAAGAAACCACCTTACATGAGAGTTCCCCTTTACACCAGAATCCACAGTGTTCCCCTTTAAAAAAAACAAACTGGTGTGCACCGCTAAAGTGTTTAGGTTTGGCTTGAGAAAAGGTGACAGCTGCATTTACTTGTTCAGGTGGGTGGTCAGTAAAACCATGGCTCAACTGCCTGCTTTTACTGCCCCCTAACAGCACAACTGAACGAGCCCTGAAAGCCACACTTGCATGTACAGTAAATAGAAATACATTTTCATAACATTAATAACATTAGTAAGTATTAGAGCTCTTTAACACCACAATACCTGTGTTCCCTGTGCATTTGCATGCATTTTTTTTACTCAGTTGTGTTTACATGCATTCACATGTGTTTGCAGCATGTTTATGTGCATTTGCAGTGTGTTTTGGTGTAGAAGAATGCAGCATGCTGTACTTTTTTACATGCAACATGAAAGCACTGTGGTGGTGAAAACTAGAGTCATTGAAAAACATTCATTTTTCTTGCATATACATTTGTACAGTGTTTCATACAGTGTTTAAAAATGCACTTCAGTGGCTATTTTGTAAACGAGCCCTTATTTACAGTATAGACATCCGTTGCATGCAGGAATTGCAACATTGTCCTATATAAAATAATAGATTGTTTTGGATTATTCCCATTTCTAGGTAAACACGTAGTTTACCTTTCTCATATCCCAGTCCCAACAAATATGTGCTGCAGCATGGTAGTTTATTTGAAATGCATTGCACCAAAATAAGACCTAATGTGACAAATCACATTTCTCTATAACCACCAATCATAATTTAGCGGGCTCACAGTCAGGGGCGGACTGACAACTCATGGGGCCCCCGGGCAAAAGGGGATCATGGGGTCCCTGTGTCCTCGCCCACACCCAAAAAAGCATATGAAAAAGCCAATGAAAGGTACCAGGGGCATCTCATGGGGCCCCCTACTGACCCCGGGCCCTCGGGCAGTGCCCGAGTGCTTGAATGGTCAGTCCACCCCTGCTCACAGTACATGGCACTTTTTAAACAGTCTAGACTTTTATTTCTGCTGAGATATTAAGCCCTGGTTCACACTGATGCTGTGCAGAATGTGCAGCTTTTTCAGTACAAGTGTGTATGTTAAGTTAACACCCCGAAAGCGGTCCGCAAAATGTGGTGCAATGTGCAGAATCGGATCTCATAGGTGTGAATACCTGTGCAGACCAAAAAAGGGTCCTGCACCTTTTTGGTGCGAGTACGGAGCGATTAGAGCCATACAAAATGTATGGCTCAAATCGCACCGCACACAAATCGCATGTGATTTGCACAGGAATGCGGTGTGGTTTCTGTGTAAATCACATGCGATATACCGCACCGCACATATGTGAACCCAGGCTTAGACATTATATTCGGTTTGTGTGCATTGATATTTTTGCTTTAGGGCCTCTTCACACCAGAACACAGTTGCGGGTGTCAATGTTAACTGAATGACACCCCAAGCACAGGCTGCACCGGATCACATGGTACAGAAGCACCATGCAATCCGGTTGCAGTGAGTTTCTAAAAGCAGTGCACTACTTTTGCTGTAATGTGATTTCAGCCTATTCAATGAATAGGCTGAAATCGCAGCACGCTGAGCTGCATGTGAATTGCACAGGAAAGCACAGCGCGCTCCTGTGTGCTGTCCAGTGTGAACTCATCAGTATCATGCATTATAACAAATTGTGATCAGTTTGTTTTTGTCCTCTGCTTTCGAAAAATATATTGGTTTATGTGCCATTTAGCCGTATGTGCGCAAAAATGGCTCTGGCAGCAAAAGGGTTAATAACTAAAAACCCGCTTTAACTGCATCTATAAGGTTCTACTTCCTCCCTTCTAAAACTTCATCTTCACTTCCTACATTTCATGAGAGTCTCTGTGCAGAGAACAGGCTGGGCGTGCTTGTCATGACTTTGCTGTAACCCTCTAGGAAGTGACATGGTGTGTGCTGTCTAAATGTGTGTTAGTGAGCGAGGCGGAGCTGGACTTCTCACAACTTACTTACACTTGCTGTAAACATGATCGGGGGTCGCAGATACTAAATCCCCCAGCTTTAGGAGCTGACTTCTTCTCCGTAAACTTTACTTGGAGAAACTATCGAGTTCTGGGACGCATTGTTGAAAGTTTCCGTAAGTATGTCATGGCATTCTCTGACTATAAGGAAGTTCTCCCATGTTTAGACATGTCTGTACATTGCTCTGTACCCCAGGAAAGAAAACTGAAAGCTTCTCTTATCAGATCAAAAATGCACCTTTATCGCTGTTGCCCTCCACAACATTTATCTAGTAATATGTATATCTTCCTTTATTTAATACGTTCCTCTCAAACTAATGAAATGCATTTTACCCTGTTGCTGCCAGAGTTTATTTGGTAAATTATTTGTTACGCACACATTAAAATGTACTTTATTGTCTTGAAATTTTTACTAAAATCCTAAAAGCTATCTATTTTTCCTTTCTGAAAGCAAAGGACCCATAAAATAAAACAACGGTAGTCATGATACTTTAAAAGTTTTAGGTTGCGCTATATATTCGTGCCAATGTTTATGAAAACTATTATTTCTGAAAAAATACACACATTTATTTTGTGGCACCACAACACTTAAAGCGGAGTTCCACATGAAAAAAAAAAAATAAAAGTCAGCAGCTACAAAAACTGTAGCTGCTAACTTTTAAAATATAGACACTTACCTGTCCCTCGGTTCAATGGTGTCCTCACCACGGCTGGTTTCTCCGTCCGTCTTCTCTCCCTGGCGCCGGCATCTTCAGTGTGGGACTCGGCTATGACAGATTGCGGCTGCACAGCTGGGTGCCCACTGCACATGTGTGAGAAGTGCTGCGCTTTGTGAATGGCCCCGTAGTCTTCTGGAACCTGTCACGTGTCCCAGAAAACTACGGGGAGGGAGGACAACGTCCGCTTCTGATCGCCTAGGCGATCGATCGCAGAGGAAGTGGGAGCAGGTACATGTCAAATTCGGTGCCAATCCTTAATGGGGAGCGGAGAAGGCTTAGAGTGGAACTTCCTCTTTTAGGTGGAGCTCCACTTTAACCTCCAAACGTTCTATTAAACCCAATGTAATCGTTTATTATATTCCAGCTTACCAGTTCTTAGAAGTGATGGCTGCATTTGTATTCTTTTTTAAGCATTCTTTCATTATTTTCATCTGGTGATCTGTTATTTTCATCTGGTGATCTCGCAGATGTGTCAATTACAGGGATAAGACAAAACATTCAACACTGGCAGGGGTGCTTAAAATGATAAGCTTTTATATATTTTTTTTAAAATCTTTATCCCCCCCCAAAACAAATGTTGGCTGTAACTAAATATAAAGATTGAGCTGAAGTTTGGCTTCAATTTGTTAGTGCATTTAAATCTGCTAGTACATCTAACACTCCCCTTCCCCCAGCCTGTCAATGCTGCTGACCAAATGTGCCCCTTGTGCTCCTTCATCCAGAATGGGGGCACTCTAATATAGGAGGTGTGTGGTCAGATTACCAGGTGAAAACAGAAGGAAAAAAGTCTAAAAAAAGAAAACACAGCCACCACATCTAATGATTGGTAAACTGCAATATATTACAGTTTTGGCTTTGGGTTTAATACCACTTTAAATAGAACAAGGAGAGAGAATAGTAAATAGACAAGACATTCAAACCCTTTATGAATTATCAGTTTAGAGTTAAACAGGCCATAGGCAATGTGATTTTCTTTCCTGACACCACGGCTTGCAGGAAAGAAAATGACTGATTCCCCACCAGCTACCAGGGTAGGGGGGCATGTTAAGGGAACCGGCCCTGCTGGGAAGACACAGTGATTATTGCCAGCGACTATGCAATAATCGCATGAAAAGTCGTACAACAATCAAATTGGATACAATGAGCCTGACCATGGATGGTTCGAATCTCGACTGGTCCCTGATAATCTGGCTGAGATTTGAACCATCTATGGCTGGCTTTAAAGAATAAGTTGATGAACTGTAACGAAAACTCTCCAGCCACCATCTCTAGCCCCCAGATGTGCAAGAGCAATGTGATGGGATGTCAGGCACAGGCAACCGTACACTTGGTTTTTAATAGCCAGGCTGTAGAAAACGTGGGAGGAGACATGCGTCATTGTCAAAAGTAAACACCTGCAAGGGTGGCAGTGGTGGTGGGGTGCCTCAGTCTAACATATTAAGGCGGTAGGGGAGAGAGGCTGGCCTTTTAACCTAATAATAGAATTAAAGTGACACAAAACTGTAATTAAAAAAAAAAATTTGTAATATGTACTAGTATGTATTCTTAGTGTGACTAAAGGCAAAACCTTTTTTTGCAATTTGCATAGAGATTGAGGGTTATAAGCTCTGTCAGTAGGTTTTTTTTTTTTTTTGCCAACTATGTCCCATTTGGAAAATTTACCTTTACTTCTTGTCCCATAGCCAAAGCAGAAAGTGAAAGGAAATTCCTCCAAAGTGAAGGAAATTCCTGGGTGTCACCAGAACTAGTGTCCCTATTGAAAGATTTCCCCTCTATTAGGCTAGGTTCACATATGTGCAGGTGGTGCTGCTGCGGATTCGCACAAAGATCTGTGCAGCCGCACCTCCCACACAGGAGAATGCGGACCCGCAGGAGGGTGCCATTAATTCTAATGGAACACCACCTGCACTGGAAATCGAAACCATACTGGGAACCGAGGTTCCCGAATGGGCTGCATTTTCAGAAGAAGTGCAGGGACTTCTTCCCTGCGTGTCCCGGGGCACGGGAGTCCATTCAAATGAATGGGCTCTTGTGCCCATGCAAAACGCGGCCTGCAGGAATGTGAATATGTGAACCAGGGGTAAGTGTTCCGATTGCAACCCATAATTTGGGATTTTCTTTTGCGTTCACTTCTAATGATAATGGTAAACAGGACAATTAGAGAGGGTAAATCTCCCCAACAAGGGCAAAGATAACAAAAGACCAAAATCTGACAGATGTTCTAATGCCTCTACACGCCATCCAAAAAAAAAAAAATGTTTTAACTTTAGATACACTTTAACCTTTCTGGCGGTAATCCCGAGTGTGGCTCGGGATTAATTTTCAGTAACAAAAGCTGTAATCCGAGCCACACTCAGGATTACACTGTAGTGTAATTTACCTTGTCACTGCGATCCCCCAATGTCCTCCCGCTGTGTCCTCTGGCCAATGCCGGCATCTGCCTTCCGGGTTCCCTTCCCTGCAAGTGTCGCGACGAGATTCAAAAAATTTAAAAAAAAACATGACATACACACAATACATTGTAATCTGTTAACCATTTCACCTCAGTTTTGTCCCTAGTGCTTTGTCCTGTGCCCTGCCTGCACTTTTACCGTTCTTTCTTCCTGGAAACTTGAGAATGTTCATGGCATCCAAAAAGCATCCCTTTAGGTCAAAAGAAGTTTTAGACCAGCTAGAGAACAGCGATAGTGAATTAGAATCACTTGCAGAATTGAGTGATAATGATTCATGGGGAAATTTGTCATCAGACACTGAAAGTAATGACAGTGACGAGTCTGCGACTGAGCTCAGTGATGTGCGAATTTGGTGCTCTATTTAAAATTTCAGTGTTTTTGGTTTGATTACATAATTATTGAGTTACATTTATTATTATTATATTATTATTTTTTTTAATTATTTATTATATTATAATTTATTATTTCGTTTTTCAAAGTTTATCATGCCCAAGATGTTTACTAGACTCTTGTTTGGATAGATTTAAATGAGTTATTCCTAAGAATTACAGGCCTACAATATAAAACAACAAATTTCCATGCAAAACAATGTACTGCTTCCACATTCAAAAATATTGACATAATCAGACCGCCAGGTTAATAATACCTGTTATTGCTCTCAGCCTCCTCCAAATCTTGAAATTCCTTTTCTTTTCTTTTGAGATCTGACTTCCTGTTAGAGGGTGGCTACTTTTGTTCTCCATGGTCCCACTGTATGCAGGAAAATGTACCCTCTTGCTTGGTGAAGCAATTCCCCTTGAATTTGGTAC